TAGCCCCAGTGGTGAGGGTGCTGCTGGTGGACTTCTTCTCACAGTTTGCGGTCATAAAGCCACTGGACACATGGGCAGCTGTGAGCCCATTCTCAGGATTCCCAGGATCTTGCATTCTACCTTGTTAACTTCTTTGCAGTTCCTCCAGACAGGAAATGCCTCCCATCTTGATGGGTTTATTGAATCTCACTCTCTTTACCCCACCTCCACTTTCTCCTGACCTTGTCTGGCTTGATCTTCCCTTTGTGATAAGGACATGAATGAAAAAGGAAATATCAACCCACTGTTGTGAGGAGAAGAAGGAAGGGCAAGGGTTTGATGTAGGAGTTCTGGAGTCAGCCATGAGGGCATAGAACCCAGTGGCCTCTGAGAAATGCACTGTTTCTCTGTAGCTAGGGCTCCCCTTCTCTAGGATGTGAGGGTGTCCAAGGGGAGACTGAGGACGAGTTTGGGTGCACCTGTGTCTTGTTGGGTAGAATGCCATCAGCTTCATTTCCCAGACTTACCTCCGCGTGAGGCAGGTCAAGCCTCTGCCTCCAGGGGGCGCCCCGTCCTCCTGCCAGACGGGGGGTGGGGGGGTGGGGGTTCCTTGTGGAGGGTTGGAGCTGTCTGTGGTCCTGGAGCACACCTGGGTTCGCTGTGCCAGGCACCTCAGTTCACAGTCACAAGGGCCTGAGCCTCAGATAAGCAGGGCCCCTGGGCTGGAGGGGTTTCGGAAAGGCAGGGCCCTCCTTCAGAAGGTGAAGTCAGGAGAAGGGGTGGCAGTGGGCTGGGTTCATGTCTGTGCTTTTCCTCTTATCCCTCTGATTTGTCAATATGCTCTTTAATGTTATTCTTCCTTCTAATTTTTCCACAAATGACGACCACTGGAATCTAAGATATTTCCTGGCCTGAAATATTTTACATGTATTGCTTATGAAAAGTATATGTAGAGTCTACATTTTGTAAACCTTATATAATAATTATAGTTTACATTGTATTAATATATCTTATAAATATAATTATATATAAGTGATTATTATAATAATAATCTACAGTACTTTATTGTATTGTAATCATATAATATTATGTTTGTAAATATTATAAATATATAATATGGTATCTTATTATAATAGTTCATAGTATATAAACATATAAGGTCCTCTGTGGGATTATATCTTAAGTCAAGAATCAAACAGGAAGGCCACCCAGGAGCCTGAGAATTTCTCTTTGTTAACCTTTCTCTCCAGGCCCCTCATTGGTTACCACCATATTGACACTTGGGGTCCTCTATTTTTCTGCCTTTCCATGTAATCATAACACCTGCACATCTATTCTTCAACAAGATAGTTGCTACAGAGGTTCATATAAATGTAATGGTGTAATGAAGTGGTTTTTGTATGACCTAATCAAGACTCCTCCAGATTTCTTTTTATTATATTAGTACCATATATAATCTTGTCTTCTCTAAATTTTGACATTTTATATCCTTGTAATTTAGAAGCATGTATTATGAAGTGCATACTACTAATCCAAGCTGCCCCTCTGTTTTTAACTGAAGCTTTTATCCAATTGTATTCAACATAAGTTTCCAACATTATATTTATTTTACATATGTGCCAAGAATGGCACATTAGTGGCATTTCTCTTTGTAGTCACCTTTCCTTTGGTTTTACTAAGTTTTTAAGTATTCTATTTCATTAAACACTATGACCCTATTTGTAGAGTCAGTACCATAAAACTTACTGCATAAATAATTAACTTACCAAAGTTTTAGTAAATGAAAAGCTCTCTCACCTCCTAGATAATGTGTGACTATGAGAAAATGTAAAGTCTATTTACCCACCAAACCACATTGGACTTAGCTGTTATTATTGTCAGGAATTTCAAAAGTATATTTTCATTCTACTGGCAATGATTTTCCCCATCTATTTGATCCAAAGGTTCTGCATTACTTCCTCATTTTTGCATCATCTCTACTGAGCATAGACTATAAAGTGATGGTTAAAGATAGCATTTGCTTTCTTCTGATTTCCATGGTTGCTATTGATATTTCCATTTAACAATGCTCCTCTTTGGAGTGTAATCTATTTTTTCCCCTCTTTTTGATCAGACTTTCTCCTCATCTTTGGTTTTCTTCGATTCACCCTGGTCCTGATACCTACTCAATGTGAGAATGGTCTCCTTTGAAAATGCCCACCTTGGGCAGGGCCAGAATCATGACTATCATTTCCAGGCCTCCAAGGCCACAGAACCAAAGCTACAGGATCAGTGTGGGTAGATGGCATTGAAAACTTTGGTGTCTTGGCTTAGATATTCTGTCTTATTTTCTGGATTAAAGCATTCCCCCAAGTACTAACCTAATAAGTTCCAACTTCTATTTGCTTTTAATTATTCTATACTTCTACATTGAGCAATTTTATTCTTTTTGTTTACTTTTCCCCCAATGAATCTTGTTATTTTTAGTGCAAGTTCTGAGCAGGATGATTAAATGAGTTGTTACCAAAACAAGAGTAACAATTAGACTTCTTACCACATGGAAATTGAGGTTCGTGTAGTGGATGTGGTGAACGAACGCCCTCCTAGTTCCAAGCTGTGACTGTCAATTTCTGTCCTCAGGGCTACTTTCCAAAGTAAGTCACCTGCATTCAGGTGCTTGTTGTGTGTCACTGGAGCAGTCACCTGGGCCCCCACAGACATTTCTTCCACTGCAGCAGCCAATGCTGTGGCTTGACCAGCCATTTTGGTTCTTGTTATAAGACACACTTCAGCAGCAACCATTAAATAACTTTGAAAAAAACAGGTGTATTACAGTCATCTCCCATTATCTACAATTTTGCTTTCCATGATTTCTGTGATCCATGTTCAAACATGGTCCAAAGTTACTAAATGGAAGACTCCAGAAATAAACCATTCATGTTTTAAATTTTGCAATTTTCTGAGAAATAAGATGGATTCTCTATGACCTCTGTCTGTCCTGCCCTGGCATGAGCCATCCCTTTGTCTGGCATCTCCATACTGTACACACTACCCCCTTCTGAGTTACTGAGTAGCCAATTAGGTTATCAGACCTATTGTCCCACTATCAATCACCTGTGTCAAGTCACCCTTACAGGTTCCTCCTGTTCCATCAGAATGCCTGTGTCATTCACCTCCCTACACCTCATCACATAGGCATTGTGTCATCTTCAACCAGCACAGGTTGTGGGGTGAGTAAAGTACAAGAAGACATTGTGAGAGAAGGAGAGACCACAGTCATATTCCCTTCATCACAGCATATCATTATAATTCTATTATTAGTAATTCTGCTAATCTTTAATTTTGACTAATTTATGAGTTAAACTTTATCATAGGTGTGTACAGAAAAATTTATGTGTAAATAAGATGTTGTACTACCTGCAGTGTCAGGCATGAAACATCTCTCCCACAGATAAGGGGGACTAATGTACTTTAAGCCAAAACCTTATCGATAAGCACTTAACACTATGGTACTGCTCTCGAATTTAGGCTGATTTTGTTTTGGAGCTTTCTTTAGAAAATTAAATGAGATCAACTATACAGAGGAGGGAGAATATGCAGTATTTTTTTAGAGGAATGTAGTTTTATTTCACCAATCTACAAATGAACAAACTTTAAAAAGAATCAAATCATTAGAATAATAGGTAGAATCATACAGATATTTCCAACTTCTCAAAGCAAAAGAAAAGAATACAAGGAGAGAAAGAAGACAAGCTTTCTAAGACCTGCTCAGTCTACAATCAATATGAAGTGGCCTTTGGAGCCACACACACAAAATAGATTAAATCATAGCTGATTACACTTGTTCCTGAAAGAATCAATCTTGCTAGTAGCTGTAACCAGCAATTCACATGTCCATGTCCAGCATTGGAGTCCCTGAACAAAGAGCCAGCCTTCTTTCAGTCCTGACTCTCCCCACCAAGGATACAGACACGTCCAGCAGCAACATCATAACAAATGTCCCTCCTGTTTCAGGGTGAGACATCCACTCTCCATTAGAGCAGAGAAGGACTCCTGGAGACAAATGGGGAGTGTTCCCCACCAAAGAAGCTAAAACCCCAGGAAGAAAGCATTTCTATGTTTCTGTCTTGGAGATGGTGAGCTCTTTCTTCAGTCCACCCTCTCAACCAAGGCTGACCAAGAACTCAGCTTTGAAGGACAGGTGGGGTGCACCTGTTGAATGCCAGGGGGTGTGGCCTCCATGAGGGAGATCTCAAATTGCTAAGCCTTTGTAGAAATAACCATAGAAGGTTGAAGGAACAAAGCCATGGGGAGAGGGTGGGTGAGGAGGTAAATGCTAGGGGAAGGGGTCTGGGATATTTTGCCTGAGGCCACAAAGTCAAAAGGAGATTTTGGAGGAGAAAGGTGGGGTCAGTTTTCTGGTGTGTCCAGTTTTACTGTGGAGGACAAACCCCACCAGGAATCGGGAGGCCTATCAGAGATGCTGTCACACCCTGTGTGGTGCCGGCAGCCTTACTAGAAACACTCCATGGTCACAGCAGAGCTCTATGGTGGTAACAGCCTTTTCCCCAAACTTCTGCTTTTGCTCTGTGACAAGAGCTTCATGCCTGCTGCTTCCCTGCCCAGAATGTTCACATGGCTCACTGTGGCTGCACCAGCTGCATCACAGCCCTTTCTTTGTCTCTGAAAAAATTCTTTTTGGTGATGAAATACATAATCAGCTCCTGTTTACAGTCAACAGGCTTTTGGAAAGATTCCGTTGGGGCCATAACTTGGATGGAAAAAGGACTGGTGCTCAGGAAGTTCTGGGGAATAGACAGGGACAAGTGAGGTGAGATGACCCCCCCAAACTATAAAATACCACATTACATTGGAAGACCAGTTGTGTCCGTGTCTTTCCCCGAGGAGCTTGGAAGAGTTCTGCATGTAAAATGACACCAACAAGTTGCTGCCATCTTTTCTATGGCTGATCACTCCTGGCTTCAGGAGACTTGCCACTAGGACCTTTCTGTTCAAAAAAGAGAGACAGGCAAGCCCTGGACCTCTGTTGGTTGTGATTTCTTTAATTCTCACAGCTGCCTTTGAGTAGCGTGTATGATGTCTGCTGTACAGAAGGGAAACTGAGGGGGAAAAAAGGAAGTGACTCACTTGAAGACAATGTCTTAGGAAATGCTGAAGTCTGCACTTGAGCCCATGTCTCTCCATTCTCGTCACCCTGCTTCTTTCTGCTCTGCCTGCAGATGCTCTTACAGTGGTTAATGTTAATGTTGCATGAGATCTCCTCATGTTTCATCAGTTAGTTCCTGACTTCTTTCCCTCACAGAGGCTGTGACATCTCTGGCCAAGACCAAGCTCTGAGCGAGTCCTCACTGGCCTGTCTTCTTGATCTCTGAGTACACACAGGTGCTGGTGGCCTCCTTGTCCTGAGCCTCACACAGCTTTCTTCCATGAAAGGTGAGGTTGGCGTACTGGGTATCCTGCTCCTCTCCTGATGGGGAAGCATCCCCCATGGGCAACTCTTGGTCTGGGGGCCTGTCTGCCTGTGGATTTTGCTGGGAACGCTGAGTGAAGGGGACAGAAAAGAGTCAGAGAAGAATAAATCAGACATGGTCTCAAGGGGAAATTGGGTTGATGGAACAGTTTCTTATTTACACACTTCACAGAAACTCAACTATGAGTCATTCATTCAAATTTTGCAATACTTCAGCTTCTTAGTCCATATCAAGGGCTTAGGAATCATATTCCATCCTCACAGAAACCAACTATAAATGATAGTTTCACTCTTCATTTATAGATGGGGAAACTAAGATGAGGAATGGTGAAGTAACATGCCCAGAATAGGTAGAAAGTAATAGTTTTGGAGTGATGGTTCTGGCTGGTTGTACCAGGCAGAGAGGTGAGATGGGCTCAGGGGTCAGCAGGGCTGGGGCAGGAGGCTGACCCTAGACTCTGGGTAATGGAGGTGAAGTCAACTCCCAGCTGTCTGTCCAGCTGACCACAGAGGAGCAGGTTTGGGGAAATGCAAGGAAGCTCAATGTGGACCTACAGCCCCTCCCACTATACCTAATGAGAAGATACTCACATCACTTACCCAAGGGACTATGCCCATGACAGCGCCTTCATCATTCATGACCTTTTGTCTCCTGCCTGTGTGCTTCCTGAGGAATTTCACTCTAAGGGAAGAAGTTAGGAGCCACAATGGCTCAGGCACAGGTGGACAGGCTGCTCCCACTCCCTGTGAGACAACTGAGGCATCCAGATCCCAGGACCCTGACTCAGAGACCTTCTGACATGAAGGTCTCCATCTCCTGGATGACCAGGTATTTGACCAAGACTAAACTTACATCACAATAGCCCTGGTACAGACTGAAACTTATACACAAGCAATCATAACCAATGATTAAAAATCATAATCAGTTATTATAATAATAAGTATTCATGAGTGCCAACAGAGGAGACAACATGTCAACCTGTCAATTAATGAAGAGACCAATAAAAAGTGCCCCATCCTACTACATAATATTATTTGGAGCAAAAAAGAATAAAATAATGAAACATGGGCCTTGAAAATATGCTATGTGAAAAAAAGAGTCACAAATGATCATGGGTTGTATGATTTCATTTATATGAAATCCAGAATGGGCAAATCGAGAGGAACAGGAAATAGATTAGTATGTATCTGGGACCGGGGTGAGGATGGTGGCAAATGACAAATAGGGGATTCTTAGTTTTCATCTTGTTCTAATGGAAAAGATTTAAAGTTAATTGTGTGATGGGTAGACAACTCTGTGATGAACTTAAAGCCATTGAATTGTACCATTTAAATATCTAAGAATTTGCCCTGGCTGGTATAGCTCAGTGGATTGAGTGTGGGCCTGCGAACCACACGACTGAGGTTCAATTCCCAGTCAGGGCACATGCCTGGGTTGCAGGCTGGTTCCCTGCAGGCCATTTCCCAGCAGAGGATGCACGAAAGGCAATCATACATTGATGTTTCTCTCCTTCTCTCCTTCCCTTCCCCTCTAAAGATAAATAAATAAAATGCTTAAAAAAAAAAAAAAAAAGGAATTTGCCCTGGCTCCTATGGCACACTGGATTGAGTGCTGGTCTACGAACCAAACAGTCACTGGTTTGATTCCCAATCAGGGCACAAGCCTGAACTGTGGGCCAGGTCCCCATAAGAGAGTGCAGGAGAGGCAACCACACATTGATGTTTCTCTCTCTCTATCCCTCCCTTAGTCTCTGACTAAAAATAAAAAAAAATTAAATCTTTTAAAAATAAAATAACTATATAAGAATTTTATCTTAATAAAGATGCTACCCAATCCCCCTCCCACCCCCCAAAAAAAACCACCTCTGTATGTACTCAGCTTCCCTTTTCTGGGATCAGGGGCATCTATTTGTACTCCCCATGGCACATCTCCCTGTACCTGCCCCAGGACATGGACTTACATGCAAAAGGAGATGAGGCACAAGCATAGAAACAGCAGGGCCATGGCACCAGCACCTCCAAGAGCCGCAGGAACCACCCTTGATATGCACAGTGATCTCCCTGCAGAGAAGAGGTGTGAGCCCACCCACTGACAGGCCTCAGTGTCCTGTTGTCCTGCCTACTTGCAGAACTGCCTGTAGGTTCTGTCCATTCACAAAATGGAGGTTCCTGTCCTAGACATAGCCCCAGTCCAGCCTTTCTTCCCAGCTCCATCCTCCCTTTAATCCCTTCCTTCCTCCCTCAGCCTCCACCTCTAGCAGGCCCCTGACCTGGCAGCAGCAGGACACTGGAGCTCTGGGTCCAGTAGACATTCTCCACCTCACAGCTGAGTCTGAGGCCAGCGCTGAGCCCTCCGCGGATGCTCAGGGAGCTGTTGGCCCAGGGCCCCTCAAAACTGGAGGTGACCATGTAGGAGGCATTGCTGTGGTTCCCCTCCAGCAGCCCCTCCCCCAGCCGCCAGCCCACCCAGGGGGTCGGCTGAGCTCGAGAGGAGCAGCTGCAGTTCAGATTCTCATCCTCCCAGAAGCAGGAGGGTCCCAGCAGCTGTGGGGGGTCTGTGGGGAGCATGTAGAAAAGTTAGCAATGCCTCTGCCTGCCCAGGACTCAGACGCCCTGCCCCCAGGCTTCCTCACACTCACAGACCACAGACAGGTTGACAGAAATACTTTGGGAGCCCAGCAGGTGCTGAGCTTGGCAGGTATACTGTCCTTCTTCCCCAGTCCCCACTCGAGGCAGCTCCAGGATCTCTGTGCTGGAGATGGGGGCAGTGTTCAGGGCTGAGGACCCACGGAACCAGCTCAGCTGTGCAGGGGGGGTTGCTGTCAGCCACACAGAGCAGCTGCAGAGCCTCGCCCTCCAGGATGGGAAAGGATGTGGTTTGCAGAATCTTGAATGCTTTGGGGGAGAGAAGTACAGAGCAGGAGGTAGAGAAGAGAACACAGGGCAGGCACCCACCCACAAAGTGTGAGGAAGGATGATGATTTTCATGCTTGTCTCTCCCATATCTGATCCTATTCACACTGTGATCTGCCCTCAGGTCCGTGGCAGCACAAGACTCAGCCCCAGCCCCAGAGAGGGGTTCTTTCCTACCTGTGACATTTGTGGAGGACACGCCTATGGTGAGGCTCCTTGGGGCATCTGGGACAGAAAGATATGGCCCCACTTCAGAGGGGACCAGCATCTGGAAGAGGGATGGTGGGAACTGGGAAGGTGGGATTGCTGTCTTTCTGGCCAACTCCCCAGCTGCACTGAGATCCATGCACTAGTGTTCTCAGGTTACATCAGCCTCCTGCACACACACACACACACACACACACACACACACACACACACACATGTGCACATGCCAGTCCCACTGCTGTCAGGAAACTAGCCATCCCTCCAACACTCACAGAAGACATTGAGCCAGATGGTTCTCTCTGTAGTCACCCAAGGCCATTGCAATTTCACCTGACAGGTGAGGTTGGTGCCATGGTCCCGGGGCCTCGGGGTGAAGGTGAGCACTGAGGAGTGGAGGTTCTGGGGGTTCAGAGAGTCAACAGCAGCTCCCGTCCAGGAGAAGGTGAGAGGTCTTCCCACTTCACAGGACTCTGGCAGGCTGCAGGTCAGCTGTGTGGGGCGGCCAGCCTGCAGAGGCTCCTGAATGAAGATGTCTGGTTTGTCTGTTGGAGCCGAGGAGGAGACATGGAAGTGTTTGGGTTCAGAAGATTAGGAACTCAAAGTATAAACCAGAGAGGGACACCTGACTCAGGACCTAAGGTCACCCCAGGGTTCTATGCCTTCTGACCACCCTGAGCCCAAGACCTGAATCATGGAGAATCACAGTGTCCTGTTGGTTCCTGTTGTAAGAACAGGTACCATGTCTCAGCATTCTCTCCTGGGCCACTGACTTACCAGTCACCTGCAAATTCAGCTTCTTATCTTGGTACGTATATTTCACTCTTCCCCTCTCCACTTGGAAGACGTAGGTTCCTGTGTCAGTGTACTTGGCATCTCTGATCTTCAGGGAACAAATGTTGTTGGTGCTGGACTCTAGAAGATGGAATCGTCCCCAGGTATCTCTTTTCACTGGTTTATATGGGTTGTTTGTGGCCACAAGTTCATCATCATGTGTGTTGTTCCTTTTCCGGTACCAGTAGAGGTTGGTAGAGTAATAAGATGAACTCCATGGGTAGGAGAAGGAGCAGGGCACCTGGACACACAGACCCTTGTGCACCCTCACCAATTCCTGTACTTGGAGCTCATAGCCTGGCTGCTCCTGCAGGGACCCTGGGGGGACACAGAGGCTCAGCTGCAGCCTTAGCCCCTCTCCCTCATCCATTCCCCATCCCAGGCCCACTCACCACCCCACAGCAGAGGCAGCAGCAGCAGCAGCAGCAGCAGGAGCATCATGTCTGCATCTGACAGGGCAGAGCAGGTCCAAATCCCTGTGTCAGTGAGGAAAATACCCAGCTCTGTGGTGGGGTCAGTGACGCCTGAACAGGAAGCCATGGGTGACAGAGTGTGGCCAGGCCCAGAAGGGGAACTTGGGCTCCACAGGTCATGGGGGTGGTGGCTCAGAAATCATCCTGTCTCAATGTCAGCCCTCTACTGCATCCTCCAAGTCATATACCCAGGACACCAGAGGTTCAGAGGCTCATCCTGATGTGAATCTGAATGTGATCACCTTGGAGAGAAAGTTTAAAGGCAAAGGGAGGTCACCCAGGTGTCATCATGGTAGAGCTTGTCCTAGTGACTTGGGGGAACCCACCCTCCAGCTGAAACCACTGAACCTTCTAGAAGAGGATATTTCTTAAATTCCTTTAGACCACCAAGTGCTGGTAGAAGAGGAAGGAATTTAGACCCAGGTTCAGTGGAGGGTCGAACTCAGGGGGAAGCTGGGTCCTAGAGCCCTTTGTTCTGAGGCCTCTTTGGTGACCTGCGATGCACAAGTGATGGTCTTCCGGGGTCTAAGGGTCTGTTGGCAGTGATGCAACACAGGCAGCCTGAAAATGGGAATGTGCTGGGAGATGTCACTAAGGCATTTGGTGGGTACCCCAAAGGGTGGCCCTCAGCACAGCAGGAAATTTGCAGCCTTAATCCCATGGAAGCCCAGTCCTCAGGGCCCCTCACATACTCCACCTCTTTTCAAAGGCCCAGCAAGGGCTCCAGTGAGATCTTGAAATAATCCACAACCTCACCGCTCTTTTAGGAGAGGAAGAAACTGGATGAACAATTTCCCAAATATGACAATGATGTGAAGAATTCTGACATTCCAGTAACAAGTTGTGTAGTTTTTAAAAAGTTTCTTAAACTCTACAGGAGGAAAAGAAATGTCAGAATGGTGCCAAGTGAAATAGTGAATTCTCTTTATTTTCTCTGTATAAGTATAATTGTACTTAATAGTCAATAATGATTACTAATGTGATATTAATTTTTATTACTATAATACAGGATAATTCTCCAATGAAGAGGCAATCAAGCAGTATCAATCAATGAACATGGAGAATATGTGTCCTTCAGGTGTGCTAGAGAGCAACGGCATACTACTAATGAAAATAGTCTGTAATAGTCTGAATTATTTATTTGGTTTACAACATTTTAGCTCTTCTTACTTCCTGTGATGTGTTTTGTCATTTCAGAAAAATGCACGGGTGCCACATGTTGCCTTCTTTTAAAGCAGTGATCTCAACATTAGTATAAATATCAGGCTCCACAACACCTGGGGTTGCCCCTGCCACAGGGAACATGGGAGCCAGAGGTAACTAGATCTGCCCCCACTTCACCCTGGACTCCTCATGGACTACAAAGAAGATTGTCTTGTGCAAGCAAAGGACTGAAAGAAGCAGTGTTTCCATGGTTTTGCCCTCACAATTCACATCACTGAGGGGTCTAACAAATTTCAAGCTTGATTTTAAAAATGACAATAAATAACAAGTTGGCCAGAATGTACAGAAAGGGACATCCTCTTGCACTGGTCCTGGGAATGTGAGTTTGGGCAGCTAGTATGTAAATCACTACATCAGTTCCTCAAAATTATATATAGCGCTCCCATAAGATCCAGCAATTCCACTTCTGGGTATTCATTTGGAGGATGTGAGAACACTAACGTGAGAACATATAAGCACCCCTGTATTCCTTGAAGCATTATTTATAACAGCCAAGATCCAAATGCAACCTCAGTGTCTGTTGGTAAATGAATGAGGAAAATGCACTATATACACAGTGGAAGGTGTTCAGGTCATAAAATGAAAGGGAATCCTTCCATTTGTGATGCGTGGATGGACCATGAAAGCTTTAGACAAAGTGCAGTGAAGAGACAGAGAAAAGCCCATATCATTTCACTCAAATGTGAAAATTTTTTCACAGTCAAGCTCACAATAGAGACAAAAGATTGCTGGTGGGAAGAGGTAGAGTTGGAGACCGGGCCAAAGGGTTGAGGGTGATCAAAAGTGCAAACTTGCAGTTACTAGATAATTAAATTTTGAGGCTGTAATGTACAGCATGGTGCCTGTGGTCAATTAATACCATTACCTATAACAATGTAGTTAATAACACCACATTGTATATTTAACAATTGCTAAATATAGCTGAGAGAAAATATTAAAAGTTCTCAGCACAAGTAAAAAGTGTGTAAGTCTATGTGGTGGTGGATATTTAAGAAGACACACTGTGCTGAGCAGTAAATGCATCTATCAGATCATTAAGTTCAACTTCAGACTGCAGTAGTGTCATATGGAAATTATATCTCAATAACACACACATATATATACTACATAAGTGAGATTGGGTACTTGGGTTTCATTAGAAGTTCCAAGCCTTCCAGGCAGAGTTCCACTTCTGCTCCATGTGTGCTCCAACATCAGCATAACAGATTCCTCATGTTGAATTCCCACTGCTAAAATCCACAGTGGAACTTCTGTGATCCTGATCTGCCCTTGACTGATTACATCTCAGGATATAAAACAGGAGCATTGGGTGATCTGAAACGCCTTCATGACAAAACTCGAAGACAACTAAGAATCCCAAAATCTCAACCTCATTGGATTTATTAACTTGCCAATGTAGCGCACAGGACTCAGACCACATATTACTCATGAAACCACAGGTTTTTTAATAAAAAAAATGACCCAGGAACAGCCAGACAAAACAGATACAGAGGGTGGAGTGTGCAGTAAGGTGCATAAAGCTTCCATGGCTTTTCTAAGGTGCCTTATCTCCCCAAACCTACATATGTTCACCAACCTGAAGCCCCCCAGACCCCATCCTTTTTAGTTTTTATGGAGGCTTCTTTATGTAGTCATGATTGCAAATCACAGACCATTGGTGATTAATTCATTCCAGCCCCTGTCCCAACCTGGTTCCCTCTGGCCTTCACACCACCTGACACAAGAGGTACCTCTTATGATGGGGACTGCACATGTGGCCCCAACATGGCCTCATCTCCTAGGCCCATCCTCTGTCCTGTGGTCAGGGGTGAGGGACAGATGGGATGGTAGATGGCGCAGTGAGAGGAAAGGAAGTTGTGACCACAGCCATAGGCATGGACAAAAGGGCAGAAGAATAAATTTCCACATAACCTGCACCAGGTTTGGAGGGTCTCAGGGGCAGAGAGGAGACCGGGCTGAAACACTCTGAACAGGAGGCCCATCTTAAGCAACACACAGCAGTGAACTGAGAGAAAGGAGAAACCATTATCTCACTTTAAAGATTTTATTCACTTTCACTTTCATTTTTATTTTTAGAGAGAGGGGAAGGGAGAAAGAAAGAGAGGGGGTGAAATATCAATGTGTGGTTGCTGCTCATGCACCCCTCACTGGGGACCTGGCCTGTAACCTGGCCATGTGCCCTGCCTGGGAATCAAACCAGGGATCCTTTGCTTCACAGGCTGGTGCTCAACTCACTGAGTTACACCTGCCAGGACCACTATCTCACTTCAGTCAGAGTCACTCAGGCCCCCTATCTCATTTTAGAAAAGTCATCAGAATTCATCTCAGAGAGAGGAGTGTGTGTTTGTATGTGTGACTATGTGTTAACCAATGACAAAAATTATTTGTAACTCTGTCTGCTACTTTCTTCACACCTCCCAACTGGGGACCACACCTGCAACCTTTTGGTTTATAAGATGAAGCTCCAACCAACAGGGCCACACCAACCAAAGCAAGAATCATATACTTTAAAAAGTGATTCCCTTCAATATTTCCAGGACCCAGATGGAAATATATAATTATTTATAGTTATATAAATATGTAGTTATAACCCATATATAGTTATTACATTATTATTGTCTATGTTCCCTATGCTGTACTTCGCATCCCAGGGACTATTCCAGAGGGTGTCTTTTTAATTCAACTTTTCAGATAGGGTCTGGCTCATTGAAATGTGGTATGTAATACCATGAACAAATCCACCCTCTGCAGGACACAGTGCAATGCACAATTCTATGTTGCAGAATAATCTCACAGGAGACCCTCTTTATGGGACACGAGTACTTCCTGGTTCCTGGTTCCCTCCTCTTGACCTTGGTGAGGGGCTAGCTCTTCAGAGAGTCAATGCTGATTTGGTGATCCTTCACGAGCTAAAGCTGATTTGGATCACGTTTTATATGTTTGGTATCCAGAGTCAGGGAGACCTGCTAGAGGAGAGGAATGGATTCACTGCAAACACTCATGACAAGTTTGTCCCGGGGCCATAAGCTTAACCACAGTCATTCTCAGAATCTCTCTATTGGGCTCAAGAAACACCCACAGACACTAAATAGGAAAATCAAATTTTATGTCGTATTACTTAATACAATGTCTATTTATGGTTAAATAGAAACTAACACAAGATGGGTGTATTTCAACAAGAAAGGAAGAGATGGACCTCTGGCCAAGAGGGAGGTGCAGGTGGAAACACTGTGCCTCCTCACACAACCAAGTTTAAAGACAACAAAGTTTTTGTAACAAAATCTCAACCAAAACACAGAAAATTGAACTGAACAGAAGTCCAAGAACAACAAACCATTCAGCCAGACGGGTAAGAGAGGCGGAGTCAGGGGTTGGAGGAGCAGATCAGGCAGGAAAAATCAGCCAGACCAACCCAGGAGCTCAGGCAGGGGTTGGCAGATCCCAGGTGTGGGGTTCCAATGGGCGGACCCAGTGAGGGTACAAAGTGGCTGGCTGACCGTGGTCACACATTTGCGCACATTTAAATGAGGCAAAGTAGCAAGAGTGAGACAGACGGCGCAGGCGAGGGCCCCAGAGATGGGAATTAAAGCCCAAAAGCACCAATTGGAAAAACTTTCAGAGTTGAGGTGCTGGGAGAAGCTCCCGGGCTCACAGAGAGTTTGATGGAGAGACCCACAAGGTTTTGAAGGATGCTCAGTCCTACACACCTGGGAGCTGGCACCAGGGGGGCCAGGTTTGCTTGCAGGAAGCAGCAGAGGGGACCAAAATCCGAGATAGAGCTGAACAAATGCCATTGAGCCTCTCTAATCTCACCCCACATATAGTGTCACAACTCAGCAACTGGGTCACCCCACCCTGGTGAACACCTAAGGTTCCACCCATCATATGTAACAGGAACCAGCAGACCAAAACATTAAAGCTCAAGAATAGCTCAAAGCCCCAGAGCCAATAACTCTAAGCGACCAAGAGATAGCCAACCTGTCTGATGCACAGTTCAAAACACTGGTGATCAGGATGCTCACAGAACTGGTTGATTTTAGTCACAAATTAGAGGAACAAATGAATGCTAAACTAATTGAAATGAAGGGAAATGCACAGGGAACCAATAGTGATGGAAAGAAAACTGGGACTCGAATCTATGGAATGGACCAGAAGGAGGAAAAAAATGACCAAACAGAAAAGGATAAAGAAACGAGATTCAAAAAAATGAGGAGAGGCTTAGAAACCTCCAGGACATCTTTAAACGTTCCAACATTGGAGTTATAGGGCTACCAGAAGGGGAAGAGGAAGAACAACAAGTGGAAAACTAATATGAACAAATAAGAAAGGAGCACTTCCCCAATCTGGCAAAGGAAATAGACTTCCAGGAAATCCAGGAAGCTCAGAGAGTCCCAAAGAAGTTGGACCCAAGAAGGAACACACCAAGGCACATCATTATTATATTAGCCAAGATTAAAATGAAGGAGAGAATCCTTGAAGCAGCAAGAGATAAGGGGACAGTTACCTACAAAGGAGTGGCCATCAGACTTCCAGCTGCTTTCTCAAAAGAAACCTTACAAGTAAGAAGGGGCTGGAAAGAAGTATTCCATGTCATGAAATCCAAATAGCTACATCCAAGATTATTCTATCCAGCAAAGCTTTCATTTAGAATGGAAGGGCAGATAAAGTGCTTCTCAGATAAGGTCAAGTTCAAGGAGTTCATCATCACCAAGCCCTTACTATATGATGATAAAGAGACTTATCTAAGAAAGAAAAGATAAAAAATATTAACAAGTGAAGGACAGCGAACTCAAAGTTATTAACAACCACACCTAAAACAAAAGCAATCTAAGAGGACAGCTAGATCAGGAGAGAAACAATAGAAATAAAGATCACATGGAGGGTTAGCAACAGGGGATTGGGAGAAGGAGAAGTGGGAAGGATGTACAGAGGATAAGTAGCATAGATGGTAGGTAGGAAATAGGGGGCAGGGCAAGAATGGTATGGGAAATATAGAATCTAAAGAACTTGTGACACATGGACATAAACTAAAGGGGGTGAATGGTGGGGGAGGGGGTGTGCAGGGTGGAGAAGAATGAAGGGAGGGAATAGGACAACTGTAATGGCATAATCAATAAAATATATTTAAATAATAAAAGATAGAAAATGAAACTCACAAGTTAAGAGAAAAAAAAAAGAAAGGAAGAGCTGTGCTCCTGACTCTACTGTGCACGAATGTCTATACAGATGGGGTTGTTTGGGAAAGAAAAACTCAGGTGCTAACCAGGTAACTTCTGGGCAATGGGAGGATGAGACCCCAAGTTCATTTCTTTCCTGGGCCTTGGGGTGCAGACACAGGAGCAGAGGGTGGGGGGAGAGAGAAGACAAGTCAAATGGGAGAGGCACAGGCAGCACCAAAGGAGCTGTCATGGGTGTGTATCATTTGTGGTTCATTTTTGTATCTTATAATGCTTTTAAATTTTAAAAACCCTCCTCAACAAAAAGACACAGTGTCTTCCAGGACTGTCCAATTCTCACAGACAGGAGAAAGATCTCCGTTAGGAACAGCTGATCAGGTGCAAGCCACCAGATCCTGAGCCCATATGCCCAATCACCCCAGTCTGTCTACAATCACCCAGGAGCTGGGATCAAGGAAATAAACATGCCTGATTTTTTCATAATAGCTGATCTTAAATGCTTTCCCTGTCCTGCATTGCATTTCCCTTGGAAACCACAATAAAGACTCTGGCTGGTCTGCCCCCCACTTCCATCTGCTCCCTGAGGGAATCTGGTGCTTCCCCCAGGGCCCTGCCCAGCCTGGCGGGATATCCTCTCAGGAAACAAAATAAATAAAAACCTTCTTTTATTGCCGTTGACTCTGCTTGCCATCACTTAGTTACTTACACAAACTAAAACCCCAAGGGTACAAGTGAGACAGGTGAGTCAGGAGTTCCCAGGCAGAAGGTGAAACTGATGTTTCACAACCACACCTGTGGACTCCGTGACACACCTCAGTGCTGTCTTCACAAGAAGGGAGATTCAATCAGAACTTCGGCCTCATTCTCTGGAGGCCCCCGCACCTGTGGGATCAACACAGATCTCAGCTCAGGGATTTGGCAACTTTACTTCTAACTGTGGGAAGGTGGGACCACTCAGCCCCACCTGGAACTTGGAGCCAAATCACTGACTTTCTCTGTGGAGAGACAGAGATGCTCACCTGGTGTAGTAGAGCCAGGTGAGCCCATAGGTGAGGAGGAAACCAGCCCCCATGAGGGCCCCTCTGGTCAGAGTGAGGACCACAGGCCAGGAGCCCTGCTGCTCCTCAGTCACACATTTGCAGGAAGGGGGTCGTCCTGGAAAAAAGGAAGGGGTAAAGCTGTTACCACAGCTTTCAGTCTTCCCACAGCCCCAACACCTGACCTGGCTGCCCACCACCCCCTACATGTAGCAGCTCCAGGACACTGGGAGCTGAGGGCTGGGACAGGCTCAGGGCTTCTCCCTCCAGGGACAAGCGCAATGAGCCCACCCATGCACAAGACTCTGTCTTGTCTTCCCACCTTTTTGCAGAACCTGCAGTAGGTTCTGTTCAAACAAGAGATGGAGGATCCAGTAGCAAATCTCCCCCTTCCAAGGCCAACCCTCTTCCCAGCTCCATCTTCTCTTTGATTCCTTCCTTTCTCTCTCAGTCTCCCCCCGCAGCAGGTCTCTGACCTGGCAGCAGCAGGACACTGGTGCTCTGGGCCCAGTGGTCATTCTGCGCCTCACAGCTGAGTCCAAGGCTGACGCTGAGCTGGGACTGGAGGCTCAGGGAGCTGTTAGCCCAGGGCCCCTCTGAGCTGGAAGTGACCATGTAGGAGGCATTGCTGTGGTTCCCCTCCAGCAGCCTCTCCCCCAGCCGCCAGCCCACCCAGGGGGTCGGCTGAGCTCGAGAGGAGCAGCTGCAGTTCAGATTCTCATCCTCCCAGAAGCAGGAGGGTCCCAGCAGCTGTGGGGGGTCTGTGGGGAGCATGTAGAAAAGTTAGCAATGCCTCTGCCTGCCCAGGACTCAGGCGCCAAGCCCCCAGGCTTCCTCACACTCACAGACCACAGACAGGTTGACAGAAATACTTTGGGAGCCCAGCAGGTGCTGAGCTTGGCAGGTATACTGTCCTTCTTCCCCAGTCCCCACTCGAGGCAGCTCCAGGATCTCTGTGCTGGAGATGGGGGCAGTGTTCAGGGCTGAGGACCCACGGAACCAGCTCAGCTGTGCAGGGGGGTTGCTGTCAGCCACACAGAGCAGCTGCAGAGCCTCGCCCTCCAGAATGGGAAAGGATGTGGTTTGCAGAATCTTGAATGCTTTGGGGAGAGAAGTACAGAGCAGGAGGTAGAGAAGAGAACACAGGGCAGCCACCCACCCACAAAGTGTGAGGAAGGATGATGATTTTCATGCTTGTCTCTCCCATATCTGATCCTATTCACACTGTGATCTGCCCTCAGGACCGTGGCAGCACAAGACTCAGGCCCAGCCCCAGAGAGGGGTTCTTTCCTACCTGTGACATTTGTGGAGGACACGCCTATGGTGAGGCTCCTTGGGGCATCTGGGACAGAAAGATATGGCCCCACTTCAGAGGGGACCAGCATCTGGAAGAGGGATGGTGGGAACTGGGAAGGTGGGATTGCTGTCTTTCTGGCCAACTCCCCAGCTGCACTGAGATCCATGCACTAGTGTTCTCAGGTTACATCAGCTTCCTGCACACACACACACACACACACACACACACACATGTGCACATGCCAGTCCCACTGCTGTCAGGAAACTAGCCATCCCTCCAACACTCACAGAAGACATTGAGCCAGATGGTTCTCTCTGTAGTCACCAAAGGCCATTGCAATTTCACCTGACAGGTGAGGTTGGTACCATGGTCCCGGGGCTTCGGGGTAAAGGTGAGCACTGAGGAGTGGAGGTTCTGGGGGTTCAGAGAGTCAACAGCAGCTCCCGTCCAGGAGAAGGTGAAAGGTCTTCCCACTTCACAGGACTCTGGCAGGCTGCAGGTCAGCTGTGTGGGGTGGCCAGCCTGCAGAGGCTCCTGAATGAAGATGTCTGGTTTGTCTGTTGGAGCCGAGGAGGAGACATGGAAGTGTTTGGGTTCAGAGGATTAGGAACTCAAAGTATAAACCAGAGAGGGACACCTGACTCAGGACCTAAGGTCACCCCAGAGTTCTATGCCTTCTGACCACCCTGAGCCCAAGACCTGAATCATGGAGGATTTCAGTGTCCTGTTCGTTTCTGTTGTAAGAACAGGTACCATGTCTCAGCATTCTCTCCTGGGCCACTGACTTACCGGTCACCTGCAAATTCAGCTTCTTATCTTGGTACGTATATTTCACCCTTCCCCTCTCCACTTGGAAGATGTAGGTTCCTGTGTCAGTGTACTTGGCATCTCTGATCTTCAGGGAACAAACGTTGTTGGTCCTGGCTTGTAGAAGGTGGAATCGTTCCCGGGGATCTCTTTTCACTGGTTTGTATGGCTTGTTTGTGGCCACAAGTTCATCATCATGTGTGTTGTTCCTTTTCCGGTACCAGTAGGTATAGGGGTTGGTAGAGGAATACCATGAACTCCACGGGTAGGAGAAGGAGCAGGGCACCTGGACACACAGACCCTTGTGCACCCTCACCAATTCCTGTACTTGGAGCTCATAGCCTGGCTGCTCCTGCAGGGACCCTGGGGGGACACAGAGGCTCAGCTGCAGCCTTAGCCCCTCTCCCTCATCCATTCCCCATCCCAGGCCCACTCACCACCCCACAGCAGAGGCAGCAGCAGCAGCAGGAGCATCATGTCTGCATCTGACAGGGCAGAGCAGAGCAGGTCCAAATCCCTGTGTCAGTGAGGAAAATACCCAGCTCTGTGGTGGGGTCAGTGACGCCTGAACAGGAAGCCATGGGTGACAGAGTGTGGCCAGGCCCAGAAGGGGAACTTGGGCTCCACAGGCCATGGGGGTGGTGGCTCAGAAATCATCCTGTCTCAATGTCAGCCCTCTACTGCATCCTCCAAGTCATATACCCAGGACCCCAGAGGTTCAGAGGCTCATCCTGATGTGAATCTGAGTGTGATCACCTTGGAGAGAAAGTTTAAAGGCAAAGGGAGGTCACCCAGGTGTCATCATGGTAGAGCTTGTCCTAGTGACTTGGGGGAACCCACCCTCCAGCTGTGAACCTTCTAGAAGAGGATATTTTTAAAATTCCTTTAGACCACCAAGTGCTGGTAGAAGAGGAAGGAATTTAGACCCAGGTTCAGTGGAGGGTCGAACTCAGGGGGAAGCTGGGTCCTAGAGCCCTTTGTTCTGAGGCCTCTTTGGTGACTTGCGATGCACAAGTGATGGTCTTCCAGGGTCTAAGGGTCTGTTGGCAGTGATGCAACACAGGCAGCCTGAAAATGGGAATGTGCTGGGAGATCTCAACGCATTCGGTGGGTACCCCAAAGGGTGGCCCTCAGCACAGCAGGAAATTTGCAGCCTTAATCCCATGGAAGCCCAGTCCTCAGGGCCCCTCACATACTCCACCTCTTTTCAAAGGCCCAGCAAGGGCTCCAGTGAGATCTAGAAATAATCTGCAACCTCACTGCTCTTTTAGGAGAGGAAGAAACTGAATGAACAATTTCCCAAATATGACAATGATGTGAAGAATTCTGACATTCCAGTAACAAGTTGTGTAGTTTTTAAAAAGTTTCTTAAACTCTGCACGAGGAAAAGAAATGTCAGAATGGTGCCAAGTGAAATAGTGAATTCTCTTTATTTTCTCTGTATAAGTATAATTGTACTTAATAGTCAATAATGATTACTAATGTGATATTAATTTTTATTACTATAATACAGGATAATTCTCCAATGAAGAGGCAATCAAGCAGTATCAATCAATGAACATGGAGAATATGTTTCCTTCAGGTGTGCCACAGAGCAACGGCACACTACTAATGAAAGTAGTCTGTAATAGTCTGAATTACTTACTTAGATTACAACATTTTAGCTCTTCTTACTTCCTGTGATGTGTTTTGTCATTTCAGAAAAATGCACGGGTGCCACATGTTGCCTTCTTTTAAAGCAGTGATCTCAACATTAGTATAAATATCAGGCTCCACAACACCTGGGGTTGCCCCTGCCACAGGGAACATGGGAACCAGAGGTAACTAGATCTGCCCCCATGTCACACTGGGCTCTTCATGGACTACAAAGAAGATTGTCTTGTGCAAGCAAAGGACTAAAAGAAGCAGTGTTTCCATGGTTGTGTCCCCATGATTCACATCACTGAGGGGTCTAACAAATTTCAAGCTTGATTTAAAAAATGACAATAAATAACAAGTGTTGGCCAGAATGTACAGAAAGGGACATCCTCTTGCACTGGTCCTGGGAATGTAAGTAGGGGCAGCTGGTATGTAAATCACTACATCAGTTCCTCAAAATTATATATAGCGCTCCCATAAGATCCAGCAATTCCACTTCTGGGTATTCATTTGGAGGATGTGAGAACACTAACGTGAGAACATATAAGCACCCCTGTATTCCTTGAAGCATTATTTATACCAGCCGAGATCCGAATGCAACCTCAGTGTCTGTTGATAAATGAATGAGGAAAATGCACTATATACTCAGTGGAAGATGTTCAGGTTATAAAATGAAAGGGAATCCTTCCATTTGTGATGTGTGGATGGACCATGAAAGCTTTAGACAAAGTGCAGTGAAGAGACAGAGAGAAGCCCATATCATTTCACTCAAATGTGAAAATTTTTTCACAGTCAAGCTCACAATAGAGACAAAAGATTGCTGGTGGAAAGAGGCAGAGGTGGGGAGTGGGCCAAAGGGTTGAGGGTAATCAAAAGTGCAAACTTGCAGTTATTAGATAATTAAATTTTGAGGCTGTAATGTACAGGATGGTGCCTGTGGTCAATAACAGTGAGTATTAATACCATTACCTACAACAATGTACTTAATAACACCACATTGTGTATTTAACAATTGCTAAATATAGCTGAGAGAAAATATTAAAAGTTCTCAGCACAAGTAAAAAGTGTGTAAGTCTATGTGGTGGTGGATATTTAAGAAGACACACTGTGCTGAGCAGTAAATGCATCTATCAGATCATTAAGTACGACTTCAGACTGCACTAGAGTCATATAGAAATTATATCTCAATAACACACACATATATATACTAAATAACTGAGGCTGGGTACTTGGGTTCCATTAGAAGGCCCAAGTATTCCAGGCAGAGTTCCACTTCTGCTCCATGTGTGCCCCAACATCAGCATAACAGATTGCTCACGTTAAATTCCTGCTGTTGAAATCCATAGTGGGACTTCAGTGATCCTGATCTGCCCTTGACTGATTAAATCTCAGGATATAATGCAGGAGCATTGGGTGATCTCAAATACCTTCATGACAAAACTCAGAGAAAACTAAGAATCAAAATGAATTTCCCTATGAAATAGGCAGCGTCTTCAGCAAACATTACATCTAATGCAGTAGTATCAGGTCCTAGTCTATAAAGGCTATACCGATCAATACAGGCTATAAAATTTGAAAGGGAAACAAAGCTGTCATTTTTCATAAAAGATTGCATATATAGTAAAATTCATAAGTATATAAGATAACATATCAAATATTAATACAAAAGTTAGCAAGAGTACCAAAGACAAAACCAAATTCGAAAATGCAAATGCATTCTTCTATCACAGTAAGGAAAAAAACAATGTTATATAAGATGTCATAGTCAACAGCATGAAAATCATGATAGAAAAACAAGGATGGCTCTTTCCCAGAACCAGCAGCATAACAAGAACTGAGTACACCCTGGGGTCCCAGGTGGAGAAGGTACATAGATGCACAGGACTTTCTGAATCATGAGATGTGTTTTGGACTCAGGGTCAAATATTGCCAGTAAAGGTTGAATGTCATGCTCCCTCACCAGACCCCTGTGCCCAGACCCCAGGGTCCACGGAGTGTGGATATCAGGTATCTAAGTCAGCAGGAGGGAGGGGACAGAGACATAGCTCAGAAATGTGTGACACCAGGAGGGTTCTTCATGTTCACTCTGCCCTCTGTCTGAGGCTCTGACTTTATGTGTCCCAAACACAGAGGGTGTTTCCTCTTTGTGACAGGATCTCCCAAGTAGTCTTCTCCTGAAGGACCCATGTCCTGCTCTCCCCATTTGACACCTGTGTTTCTCATGTAACCATCACAGGTGGAGGTTCCCAAGGAGGTTGAATTGGCCCAAACTTCCTGGTCACCTCCTGCAGCTCTTGAGCCAATCTATTTCAGCTCAGGGGGATCATGGTATATTTTGGCCTCTTTCTTAAACCAGAAGCTGCAGACTATTCTATAGTAAACCCATAGATTTTGAGATGAGAGGAGATGGGAGTGTGAGGAAACACAGGCACTTGGTACTCATGTGTCCCCAATCCTCACACCTGCAATTCAGCCCTGATGCTTCTCTAAGTTGTTCCCCAGTAAAGAGGAAGGACAGTGTCCCACAGCCCTATCACCCCACATACATGGGCAGTGGCATCATGTGGCCTTGGAGGGTCATGTCCAGCACTCCTGAGGTCACAGGGTCAGTCCCTGCTCTCTGGGAAGCAGTAGATTTCTACCTATCACTCTTTCTGGAGGTTAGTATCCCAAACCTGCCCTGTGCAAGAAGCTGTCCTTCCCAGTGACAAGAAGGGGAGGGAAGGCTGACATCTTCTCACCTAGTTCTGGTGACAGCCTGTCATGATGGCCTCTTTGCATCCCACTTGCCACTCATGTCACTTGTCCTAAGTATCCCTCTCAGAGAACGGACCAAGTGTGGTCTCTCTCTGCTCTCTCATATTTCCCAGAATACCTGAGGGAGCACGAGGGTGTGAGTGCCAGGACCTACCTGAAACCCAGTCCTCTCTCTGTCCTGGTCCTCAGCCCAAGTCTGGCCACAGAAGAAGCCTCAGGAAGGGGTGGCTGAAGTCACTCAGGTCAAGGGGCCCCTCATGCTCAGAGGCTTGAACTGAGAAGGGCAGCCCTGACTTTAGCCTCAGTGGTGAGGGTGATGCTGGTGGATTTCTTCTCACAGTTTGTGGTTAGAAAACCACTGGACTCATGTCCAGCTGTAAGACTATTCTCGGGATTCCCAGGATCTTGAATTCTCACTTGTTAACTTCTTTACAGTTCCTCCAGACAGGAAAGGCCTCCCATCTCTATGGGTCTATTGAATCTCACTTTCCTTACCCCACATCCACTCTCTCCTGACCTTGCCTGGCTTGATCTGTCCTTCATGATAACATTCTCCCTGATGTGGTTCACTGAGGCCACAGAAGCCTTTCCCAATCTCGATATATTCTCTTCATGTAGAATGAATTGAAACTTAGAAATTATTTCACTGACCTAACAGCTCCAAATACAACATCTCAACCAGACTTCTGATTCTTCATTTCTTCATTTGAGCTGAATTGGGCCTGGATACTGCCAGGCACAGAAACGACTCACAGATCATGTTTCCTCTTACAGAGAGCCCTGTGACAGTACAAGAATGGGGTTAAAGGAAAAAGAAAGTATCAACCCACTGTTGTGAGGAAAAGAAGGTGGGCAAGGGTCTGATGTAGGAGTTCTGGAGTCAGCCATGAGGGCATAGAACCCAGTGGCCTCTGAGAAATGCACTGTTTCTCTGTAGCTAGGGCTCCTATTCTCTAGGATGTGAGGGTGTCCAAGGGGAGACTGAGGACGAGTTTGGGTGCACCTGTGTCTTGTTGGATAGAATGCCATCAGCTTCATTTCCCAGTCTTACCTCCACGTGAGGCAGGTCAAGCCTCTGCCTCCAGGGGGCGCCCCATCCTCCTGCCAGACCAGGGGACCCCTTGTAGAGGGTTGGAGCTGTCTGTGGTCCTGGAGCACACCTGGGTTCGCTGTGCCAGGCACCTCAGTTCACAGTCACAAGGGCCTGAGACTCAGATAAGCAGGGCCCCTGGGCTGGAGGGGTTTCGGAAAGGCAGGGCCCTTCTTCAGAAGGTGAGTAGGAGAAGGGGTGGCAGTGGGCTGGGTTCATGTCTGTGCTTTTCCTCTTATCCCTCTGATTTGTCAATATGCTGTTTAATGTTATTCTTCCTTCTAATTTTTCCACAAAAGGCAACCACTGGAACCTAAGATATTTCCTGGCTTGAAATATGTTATATATATTGCATATGAAAAATATATGTAGAGTCAACATTTTGTAACCTTATATAATAATTATAGTTTACATTGTATTAATATGTCTTATAAATATAATATATATAAGTGATTATTATAACTAATAACCTACAGTACTTTATTATATTGTATTATAATCATATAATATTATGTTTGTAAATATTATAAATATATAATATGGTATCTTATTACAATAGTTTATAGTATATAAACATATAAGTTCCTCTATGGGATCATATCTTAAGTCAAGAATCAAACAGGAAGGCTCCCCAGGAACCTGAAAATGTCTCTTTGTTTCCTTTTGTCTCCAAGCCCCTCATTGGTTACCACCATATTGACACTTGGGGTCCTTTATTTTTCTGCCTTTCCATGTAATCATAACACCTGCACATCTATTCTTCAACAAGATAGTTGCTATAGAGGTTCATATAAATGTAATGGTGTAATGATGCGGTTTTCGTGTGACCTAATGAAGACTCCTCCAGATTTCTTTTTATTATCTTAGTACCATTTATAATCTTGTCTTCTCTAAATTTTGACATTTTCTATCCTTGTAATTTAGAAGCATGTATTACAAAGTGCATACTACTAATCCAAGCTGCCCCTCCATTTTTAACTGAAGCTTTTATCCAATTGTATTCAACATAAGTTTCCGACATTATATCTATTTTACATATGTGCCAACAATGCCACATTAGTGGCATTTCTCTTTGTAGTCACCTTTCCTTTGGTTTACTAAGTTTTTAAGTATTCTATTTCATTATACACTATGACCCTATTTGTAGAGTCAGTACCATAAAACTTACTGCATAAATAATTAACTTACCAAAGTTTTAGTAAATGAAAAGCTCTCTCACCTCCTAGATAATGTGTGACTATGAGAAAATATAAAGTCTATTTACCCACCAAACCACATTGGACTTAGCTGTTATTATTGTCAGGAATTTCCAAAGTATATTTTCATTCTACTGGCAATGATTTTCCCCATCTATTTGATCCAAAGGTTCTGCATTACTTCCTCATTTTTGCATCATCTCTACTGAGCATAGACTATAAAGTGATGGTTAAAGATAGCATTTGCTTTCTTCTGATTTCCATGGTTGCTATTGATACTTCCATTTAACAATGCTCCTCTTTGGAATGTACTCTGTTTCTTCCCCTCTTTTTGATCAGACTTTCTCCTCATCTTTGGTTTTCTTTGATTCACCCTGGTCCTGATACCTACTCAATGTGGGAATGGTCTCCTTTGAAAATGCCCACCTTGGGCAGGGCCAGAATCATGACTATCATTTCCAGGCCTCCAAGGCCACAGAACCAAAGCTACAGGATCAGTGTGGGTAGATGCCATTGAAAACTTTGGTGTCTTGACTTAGATATTCTGTCTCATTTTCTGGATTAAAGCATTCCCCCAAATACTGACCTGAGAAGTTCCAACTTCTATTTGCTTTTAATTATTCTATACTTCTACATTGAGCAATTTTATTCTTTTTGTTTACTTTTCCCCCAATGAATCTTGTTATTTTTAGTGCAAGTTCTGAGCAAGATGATTAAATGAGTTGTTACCAAAACAAGAGTAACAATTAGACTTCTTACCACATGGAAACTGGGGTTCGTGTAGTGGATGTGGTGAACGAATGCCCTCCTAGTTCCACGCTGTGACTGTCAACTTCTGTCCTCAGGGCTACTTTCCAATGTAAGTCACCTGCATTTAGGTTTAGGTGCTTGTTGTGTGTCACTGGGGCAGTCACCTGGGGCCCCACAGACATTTTCTCCACTGCAGCAGCCAATGCTGTGGCTTGACCAGCCATTGTGGTTCTTGTTATAAGACACACTTCAGCAGCAACCATTAGGGAACTTAGAAAAAACAGGTGTATTACAGTCATCTCCCACTATCTACAGTTGTGCTTTCCATAATTTCTGTGATCCATGTTCAGACATGGTCCAAAGTTACTAAATGGAAGACTCCAGAAATAAACCATTCATGTTTTCAATTTTGCGATTTTCTGAGAAATAAGATGGATTCTCTATGACCTCTGTCTGTCCTGCCCTGGCATGAGCCATCCCTTTGTCTGGCATCTCCATACTGTATACACTACCCCCTTCTGAGTTACTGAGTAGCCAATATGGTTATCAGACCTATTATCAGTCCCACTATCAAGCACCTGTGCCAAGTCACCCTTACTGTTGCCTCCTGTTCCATCACAATGCCTGTGTCATTCACCTCCCTACACCTCACCACATAGGCATTGTGTCATCTTCAACCAGCACAGGTTGTGGGGTGAGTAAAGTACAAGAAGACGTTGTGAGAGGAGAGACCACAGTCATATTCCCTTCATCACAGCATATCATTATAATTCTATTATTAGTAGTTCTGCTAATCTTTAATTTTAACTAATTTATGAGTTAAACTTTATCATAGGTGTGTACAGAAAAATTTATGTGTAAATAAGATGTTGTACTACCTGTGGTGTCAGGCATGAAACATTTCTCCCACAGATAAGGGGGACTAATGTACTTTAACCCAAAACCTTGTTGATAGGCACTTAACACTGTGGTACTGGTTTTGCATTTAGGCTGATTTTGTTTTAGAGCTTTTTTTTAGAAAATTAAATCAGATTATTCATATAGAGGAGGAAGAATGTTAGCTCTCTCTCTTTTTTAGAGGAATGTAGTTTTATTTCTCCAATCTGCAAATCAACAAACTTTAAAAAGAAACAAATCATTAGAATAATAGGTAGAATCATACAGATATTTCCCACCCCCCAAAGCAAAAGAAAAGAATACAAGGAGAGAAAGAAGACATGCTTTCTAAGACCTGCTCATCCTACAATCAGTATGAAGAAGTGGCCTTTGTAGCCACAAAAAATTAAATCATAGCTGATTCCACTTGTTCCTGAAAGAATCAGTCTTGCTAGTAGCTGTAACCAGTAATTCACATGTCCATGTCCAGCATCGGAGTCCCTGAACAAAGAGCCAGCCTTCTTTCAGTCCTGGCTCTCCCCACCAAGGATACAGACATGTCCAGCAGCAACACCATAACAAATGTCCCTCCTGTTTCAGGGTGAGACATCCACTCTCCATTAGAGCAGAGAAGGACTCCGGGAGAGAAATGGGGAGTGTTCCCCACCAAAGAAGCTAAGACCCCAGAAAGAAAGCATTTCTGTGTTTCTGTCTTGGAGATGGTGAGCTCTTTCTTCAGTCCACCCTCTCAACCAAGGCTGACCAAGAACTCAGCTTTGAAGGACAGGTGGGGTGCACCTGTTGAATGCCAGGGGGTGTGGCCTCCATGAGGGAGATCTCAAATTGCTAAGCCTTTGTAGAAATAACCATAGAAGGTTGAAGGAACGAAGCCATGGGGAGAGGGTGGGTGAGGAGGTAAATGCTAGGGGAAGGGGCCTGGGATGTTCTGTCTGAGGCCACACTGTCATGAGGGGATTTTGGAGGAGAAAGGTGGGGTTAGTTTTCTGGTGTGTCCAGTTTTACTGTGGAGGACAAACCCCACCAGGAATCGGGAGGCCTATCAGTGATGCTGTCACACCCTGTGTGGTGCTAGAAGCCTTACTAGAAACACTCCATGGTCACAGCAGAGCTCTATGGTGGTAACAGCCTTTTCCCCCAAACTTCTGCTCTGCTCTGTGACAAGGGATTCATGCTCACTGCTTCTTTGCCTAGGGTGTGCACATGGTTCGCTGCACCAGCTGCATTGCAGCTTTTTTTTGTCTCTGAAAAAAATCTTTTTTGTGATGAAATACCTAGTAAGCTCCTGTTTACAGTCAACAGGCTGTTGGAATGATCCCTTTGGGGACGTAACTGGGATGGGGAAGAGACTGGTGCTCAGGAGGTGCTGGAAAATGGACAGAAACAAGTGACCCTTTTGTGAGATGACCCCACAGAAACTACAAGATATCACATCAAAGCGGAACACCAGATGTGTCCAGTGTCTTTCCCTGAGGAGGCGTGGAAGAGTTCTGCATGGAAAATGACACCAACAAGTTGCTGCCCTGTTTTTCATGGCTGATCAATCCTGGCTTCAGGAGACTTGCCACTAGGACCTTTCTGTTCAAAAAAGAGAGACAGGCTAGCCCTGGACCTCTGTTGGTTGTGATTTCTTTAATTCTCACAGCTGCCTTTGAGTAGCGTGTATGATGTCTGCTGTACAGAAGGGAAACTGAGGGGAAAAAAGGAAGTGACTCACTTGAAGACAATGCCTTAGGAAATGCTGAAGTCTGCACTTGAGCCCATGTCTCTTCATTCTCGTCACCCTGCTTCTTTCTGCTCTGCCTGCAGATGCTCTTACAGTGGTTAATGTTAATGTTGCATGAGGTCGCATCATGTTTCATCAATTAGTCTTTGACTTCTTTTTCTCACAGAGGCTGTGACATCTCTGGCCAGGACCAAGCTCTGAGCAAGTCCTCACTGGCTTGTCTTCTTGATCTCTGAGTACACACAGGTGCTGGTGGCCTCCTTGTCCTGAGCCTCACACAGCTTCCTTCCATGAAAGGTGAGATTGGCGTACTGGGTATCCTGCTCCTCTCCTGATGGAGAAGCATCCCCCATGGGCAACTCTTGGTCTGGGGGCCTGTCTGCCTGTGGATTTTGCTGGGAATTCTGAGTAAAGGGAAGAGAAAAGAGTCAGAGAAGAATAAATCAGACATAGTTTCGAGGAGAAATTGGGCTGATGAAACAGTATTTTATTTACACACTCCACAGGAACTGAACTATGTGTAATTCATTTAAAATTTTGCAATACTTCAGGTTCTTAGTCCATATCAAGGGCTTATTCATCATATTCCATCCTCACAGAAACCAACTATAAATGATAGTTTCACTCTTTTCATTTATAGATGGGGAAACCGAGGTGAGGAGAGGTGAAGTAACATGCCCAGAATGGTCAGAAAGTAATAGTTTTGGAGTGATGGTTCTGGCTGGTTGTACCAGGCAGAGAGGTGAGATGGGCTCAGGGGTCAGCATGGCTGGGGCAGGAGGCTGAACCTAGACTCTGGGTAAGAAAGTGGAAGTCAACTCCCAGCTGTCTGTCCAGCTGACCACAGAGGAGCCTGTTTGGGGAAATGCTGAGCAGCTCAGCCCACACTCATTGAATGAACATGCCCAGCCCCTCCCCCTACACTGCATGAGAAGATACATCACTCACCCAGGTGATCATACCCATGACAGGGTCTTCATCATTTGTGACCTTTTGTCTCCTGGCTTTTCGCTTCCTGTGGGCTTTCACTCTAAATGAAGAAGTCAGCAGTCAGAATGGCTCAGGCACAGGTGGGCATGCTCCTCCCACTTTGTGTAAGACAACTGAGGCATCCAGACCACAGAAGCGGACTTTAAGAGCCTTCTGACATGCAACTGAGTGCTCCATTCCCTGGATGACCAGGTGTTTGGCCAAGACTAAACTTGCATCATGATAGGCCCCTACACAGGAAGAGATTTCTACATGAGCAATCAAAATATTCCTGAGAGACCCAAAGTAAGAGCAACCCAACTGTCCATTGATGAATAAAGAGAAAATAAAAAATGCATAGTCCATACCATGGGCTGTTATTTGGAACAATGAAGAATTTAAAAAATGATATTTGAACCTCGAAAATATCATTCTATGTGAAAAAAGAGTCAGAAAAGATCATGTGTTGTAGGATTCCATTTACATGAAATGTCCAGAATGGGCAAATCAAGAGAAACAGGAAATAGATTAGTGTCTGCCTGGGGCTTGGGTGAGGATGGTGGCAAAATTACAAATAATTGATTTTTTTCATTTTCTGCTAGTGAAAAAGACTTAAAATTGATTATGGTGATGGGTGCACGGCTCTGTGACTGAACTAAAAGTCATTCAGTTGTACACTTTAAATATGGAAGAATTTGTCCTGGCTGGTGTGGCTCAGTGGATTGAGTGCTGGCCTGTAAATCATGGGATTCCCAGTCAGAGCACTTGCCTGGGTTCCTGGTCAGGTCCCCAGTAGGAGGCACAGAAGAGGAAACCACACATTGATGTTTTTCTCCCTCTCTCACTCCCTTGCCCTTTGTCTAAAAATAATTAAAATCTTTTTGAAAATAAATAGATTCATTAAGAATTTTATCTCAATAAAGCTGCTACCCCATCCAACCCTGAAAAGACCCCTCTGTTTGTCCTTAGCTGCACGTTTCTGGGACCCTGGGCCCTCTCCCAGTACTCCCCATGACTCAGCTTCCTGTACCTCCCAAGGACACAAAGCTTACATGCAAAAGAGGATGAGACACAAGCACAGGGACAGGAGCACCATGGCACCAGCACCAGCAAGAGCCGCAGGAACCACTGTGCACTCCGGTACTGCCTGGCCTGCAGAGAAGAAGAGAGTGAGCCCATCTTCTCACAGCACTCTGTCTTTTTTTCCCCCATTAAGTTTTTTTTATTTTAATTTCTTTTATTATGCTGATACAGTTGTTCTATTCCCCCCCTTCATTCCCCTCCACCCTGCCCCCCATCCCCACCATTACCCCCCTTTAGTTTATGTCCATGTGCCTCAAGTTCTTTAGATTCTATATTTCCCATGCTATTCTTGCCCCCCCCATCTATTTTCTATCTACTGTCTATGCTACTTATTTTCTGTACCTTCTCCCCCCTTCTCCTCCTCCCACTCCCCCGTTGCTAACCCTCCTTGAGATCTTCATTTCTATGTTTCCACTCCTGATCTAGCTGTTCTTTTAGTTTGCTTTTGTTTTAGGTGTGGTTGTTAATAACTGTGAGTTTGTCCTTTCACTGTTCGTGTTTCTTTAACTTTGTTTTCTTCGATAAGTCCCTTTAACATTTCATATAATAAGGGCTTGGTGATGAATGGAATTGCACAGGAAACCAATAGCGATGAAAAGGAAACTGGGACTCAAATCAACGGAGTGGACCAGAAGAAAGCAAATAATTGCCAAACAGAAAAAGAGTGAAGAAGCAAGAATTCAAAGAAATGAGGAGAGTCTTAGGAACCTCCAGGACATCTTTAAACGCTCCAACATCCGAGTTATAGGGGTACCAGAAGGGGGAAAGGCACAGCCACCAGTGGAAAACTTATTTGAACAAATAATAAAGGAGAATTTCCCCAATCTGGCAAAGGAAATAGACTTCCAGGAAATCCAGGAAGCTCAGAGAGTATCACAGCACTCTGTCTTGTTTTCTTCCCCCGTCTTTGCAGAACTGGCTGTAGGCTCTGTTTGGACAAGAGATGGAGGGTCCTGTCCTACAAAATAACGCCCTTGCCAGCCACAGCCTCTTCTCCAGCTCCATCTTTTCTTTGATCCCTTCCTTTGTCCCTCAGCCTCTGCCCTTAGCAGGCCCCTGACCTGGCAGCAGCAGCAGGACACTACCGCTCTGGGCCCCGTGGACATTCTCTGCCTCACAACTGAGTCTTCGGCCTGTGCTGAGCCATGCGGGGAGGCTCAGGGAGCTGTTGGCCCAGGGCCCCACAGAATGGGAGATGACCTTGTAGGAAGTGTTGCTGGAGATTTCCTCCAACAGCCCCTCCCCCAGCCGCCACCACAGTGAGGGGGCCGGCTGAGCTCTGGAGGAGCAGCTGCAGTTCAGACTCTGGTTCTTCCAGGAGCAGGAGGGTCCCAGCAGCTGTGGAGCATCTGTGGAGAGTGAGGGAAAGGGTCAGTGGCTCCACTGCCCTCCAAGGACCCAGGTGACCTGCCCCCAGGTTCCCCCACACTCACAGACCACTGAGAGGTTGAAAGAGATACTTCTGGAGCCCAGCGGGTGTCGAGCTTGGCAGGTGAATTGTCCTTCTTCTCCAGTCCCCACTCTAGGCAGCTCCAGGATTGCAGCCCTGGAGATGGGGGTAGCACTCAGGGCTGAAGACCCCTGGAACCAGCTCAGCTGTGCAGGGGGGTTGCTGTCAGCCACACAGAGCAGCCTCAGAGCCTCCCCCTTCAGGATGGGAAGGGATGTGGTTTGCAGAATCTTGAAAACTAGAGAAGTGCAGAGACAGAGAAGACAGAGAGAGAAAGAGAAAGAGAAACAGGGAGAAAGATACTGAAGGAGAACTCAGGGGAAGCACCCACCCAGAAAAAGGTAAGAAAGTGGGGGTGATGATTTTCCTCCTTGCCTCTCCCATATCACATCCCATTCTCACTCTGATTCCCCCTCAGCTCCACAGAGGCCCTCAGGGCAGGTCCCAGTTCCAGAGAGAGAGGTTCTTTCCTACCTGTAACATTCCTGTAGGATGCCCTTATGGTGAGGTTCTGTGGGGCATCTGAGAAAGAAAGACATGGGCCTGCCTCAGAGGGGAGGATTGGATAGAAGTCACCCCAAACCAAGGAGGGGCAGTGGGAACCAGAATGGTTCTGGCCCACTCCCCTTCTACACTCAGATGTACAAATGAGTTTCCTCCTCTTAGCTCAGCCTACTGTACACACACACAAAATATACACAAAGACACAAACAATCAGGTTGGCCAGTCCCACTGCCCCCAGGACACCAGCTGTCCCTCCAACACTCACAGGAGACATTGAGCTGAATGGTTTTTTCTGTGGTCACCCTGGGTCCTGCAAGTGTCACCAGACAGGTGACTTTGGTGTTGTGGTGCCAGGGCTTTGGAGTGAAGGTGAGCACCGAGGTCTTGGGATTCAGAGAGTCAAGAGCATCCCCCACCCATGAGAAGGTGAGAGGTGTTGCTCCTTCACAGAACCCTGGCAGGCTGCAGGTCAGCTGTGTGGGGCGGCCAGACTCCAGAGGTCCCCGAAAGTGGATGTCAGGTTTCTGTGTCAGGTCTGAGGAGGAGAGAGGGAGGTACCTGGTAGTTGGAGCTTCCATGGGGACCCAGAATGTGACCCCACCTGGGACCCATGGCTGAGGGCCTGAGTTCACCCTAGGTCCTGTGTCTCTTCTAATACCCTGGGCCCAAGGCTGGAATCAGTGTCCCAGGGTCCTGTTGCTGTTCTAAGCTGGGTCCCATGTCTCAGCATCCTCTCCTGGCCCACTGGCATACCTGTCACCTTCAAAGTCAGCTTTTTCTCTTGGTAATCATTACGGTGAGTATATGGTCCATGCACTCGTAAGACATAGGTTCCTGCATCACTCTTCCTGGCGTCTCTGATGCTCAGGGAACAGTTGGCCCTGGGATCCATGAGGGAGAATCGGCCCTGGGTATCTCTCTTCACTTGTTTATTTGGGACATATGTGGCCACAAGTTCAAGGTTTTGTGTGCGGCGCCCACTGTAGTACCAGTAGATGTAGATATTGCCAGAGGAATAAACTGAAGTCCAAGCAGAGGGAAAGGAGCAGGGCACGTTGATGCATCCACCCTCCTGCACGCTTGCAGATTCCTGCATTTGGGTACCATGGCTTGGCTGCTGCCCCTGAAAGGACCCTTGGGGGACACAGACACTCAGCATTGGCCCCAAGCCGCCCCCCACCTGCCCATCCCTCTTCCCAAGCCCTCTCACCTCCCCACAGCAGGGGCAGCAGCAGTAGGAGCAGCATGTTTGCTTCTCACTGGCAGAGTGGGTCCAGTTGCTTGTGTCAGGGAGGGAAATACCCAGCTATGGGGTGGGGCCAATGACACCCCAACAGGAAGCCATGGGTGACAGAGCTGTGGCCAGTCCTGAAGTGGAAGTTGGGCTCCACAGGCTGTGGGGAGAGTTGTGAGGGCTGAGAAATCATCCTGTTTCAACTCCCCCAACCCAACCCTGCAAGTGGATCTACTGTGGTCCCCAGATGTTGAGCGGCTTGTCCAGCTGCAAATCTGAATGTATTCACCTCGCAGTTGATGTTGAAGTTGACAGAGAGGTCACCTAGGGGTCATTCCAGTGAGAGTTGCTCCTGACTCTTTTGGCTGGAGGGTGGAACTCAGGAGATCCACCCTCCAGCCAAAATCACTGAACATTCTGGGAAAGGAGGATTTAAAAATTTTTATTTGGACAACCCAAGGGCTGGTAGGAGAGGAAGGAAATTAGACCCACTCCAGTAGAGATTGGAACCCAGAGGAAATTTGGGTATTAAAGTGCTTTGTTCTGAGAGACTTTGGGAACATGGGATGCACAAGTGATTGCCTTCCATGGTGAGAGGGTGCGTGGGACACCGAAAGCGCACAGGTGCCCTTGAAGTGGGACATGGCCAGGGAGATCTCACCCCACTCAAGGGGACCTTAGACTCTGGCCCTCAGCCCAGCAGCAAATGCTCAGTCTTAAAATTGAGGAAGCTCCATCCCCAGTGCCCCTCATGAGCTCAGTTCATATTCAAAGCAAGGGCTCCAGGCATGTGTGGGAATAACCTGCAATCCTGCTGCCCTTTATGAAAGAAAGAAACTTAATAAACATTTTCTCAAACATGACGATGATGTGAAACAGGTCAGCTATTTCCTGTAACAAGTTGTGGGGTAAAAGTTTTAATAAAATTATACTGGGGGGAAGAAGAGGAGAAACACAATTATTGTCACAGGCAAAAGTTTCTTAAACTATCGTATTTTTCCATGTATAAGGCACAGTTTTTGTCCAAATATTTGAGAGAATAATAAGGATGTGCATTATACATGGGTGGTATCAATTCAGTTTCTATATAAATGTCTTTAATTCTTTTAATTATGCTTTTGCATTAATAGTGTAACTTTACAAAGCAATAATGATATCTGTATGCAAAATAATACCCTGGAATGTGATAATAGATTTAGTTTCTGTATATAAATAAATAAATAATTGGACTTGGCTGGTGTGGCGAGTGCTGTATTGTGAACTGAGGGGTTATAAGTTTGATTAAATGTCAGGGCACATACCTGAAAGCGGGCCACTTCCCTGGTTGGGTGCGTGAGAGAGGCAACCACACAATGATGTTTCTTTCTCCCTCTGTCTTTCTCTCTTCCCCTTCTCTGAAACAAAATAAGTAAAATAGTTTTCAATGTTGAATAAAAAAATTAAAATAAATGGTTTTTTCTGTGAACCTTTGGGCTAAAAGCGTGGGCATGCATTACACACAGGAGCACTTTAGACATGGCAAAATATGATTCACAGGAAAATTAAATGTCAATTTGTGGTGCCAGATGAAATGTTAATTCTCTTTCTATTTGCTACATTATATAAATATTACATGATTGTAATAATAAGGGTTACTACTGTGATATTAATATCTATTACTCTAACAAAGAACTAATCTCCTATGAAGACACAATGAAGCATTATTAGTCAAAAAAGTGGGGACATGTGTCCTGCAGCTGTGCCAGACAGGAATGGCACACTACTAATAAAAATAGTCTGTAATTGTCTGATTAGTGTTGTATTTTGGTTTTCAGCATTCTAGCTCTTCTTATCTGACATGATGTGATGTAATTTCTCATTTCAGAAAAATTCCTGGGTGCCACAGGTTGCTATTTCATTGAAGCAGTGATCTCTACATTAGTGTCAGCACCAGGATCCTCAAAATCTGGGGCTGCCTCTCCCATGGGGAACATGTGAACCAGAAGTAACCAGCTCAACCATACACTCACCCCAGACTCCTCACATGTTGCAAAGAACATTGTTTTGTGCAAGCAAAGAACTTAGGGAAGCAGCATTTACATGGTTGTGCCCCCACCATGCACATCACTGAACAGTATAGAAAATCTCAATGTGGCTTATAAAAATGGGAAGAAATAATCAGAGTTTGCAAGAATGTTCAAAATGGGGAACCCCCTTTCACTGCTTGTGGAAATGTAAGTTGGAGCAGCTGCTATGTAAATCAGTGTGGCAGTTCCTCAAATACTGAAAATGGAGCTGCCCTAAGATCCAGCAATTCCACTTCTGAGCACATAATTTGGGGAAATGAAAACACTAACTTGAAGAGCCCTAGGCACCCCTCTCTTCACTGAAGAATCATTTATAATCACCAAGATGGGAGAGCAACTTCAGTGTCCATTGATACATGAAGGGATGAAGAAATTATGGTGTATGTACAATGGAATATGCTTGTGCCATAAGGCTAAGTGAATCAACAATGCTGAGAAAGACATACTGTACAATTTCACTCATGTGTGGGAACTTAAAAAAAAATCAAACTCAGTTAAAATAGGTAGGTGATTCCCAGAGAAGGAAAATGGGTGCAAAATAAAAAGACAACCCACAGAATGAGAAAACATGTTAATCAATATACCTGATGAGGGGATAATATCCGACATTTATAAATAAATTATAAATTCAAAACAAAACAAAAAAAAACAATTAAAAATAAGCAAAGGACCTGAATAGACACTTCTCTGAATAGGACACACTAATGGCCAATAGAGAAATGAAAAGATGCTCAACATCACTAAATATCAGAGAAATGCAAATTAAAACCACAGTGAGATGTCTTTTCACACCTGTCAGAAGGGCTATCGTCAATCAATAAACAAACAACGAGTGCTGACAAGGATGCGGAGAAAAGGGAAGACTTTTGCACTCTTGGTGGGAATGCAGATTGGTGCAGCCACTGTGGAAAGCAGTATGAAGATACATTAATAAATTAAAAATGAATGGACCATTTGACTCAGACATCACACTTCTGGGAATATACCCAAAGGGATGCAAAACACTAATTGGAAAGAACATAAGCATGCCTATGTTCATTGTAGTGTTATTTACACTCACCAAGATATGGAAGCAGTCTGAGTGTGCATCTGTAGATGAGTGGATAAAACAACTTTGGTGCATTTACACAATGGGATACTACTCACCCATAAAAAAGAAAAAGATACCAGTTGCAACAATATGGAGGGCCCTGGAGAACATTATACTCAGCAAAATATGTCAGTAACAGCAAAAAAAAAACACCATATTTTTTCACTTATAGGTGGAATCTAATGAACAAACTGAAGTAACAAGCCAAACAGAGACAGACTCATGGATGGAGAGCAGATGACAGCTGGTGTTGGGGGGAGTTACAGGGTAGAGGGATTGAACAAAATGCAAAAAACACATGGACATGGACAACAGTGTATTGATTGTGAAGGTAAGGGGGCTAAATGGTAATGAAAAAATACAAGCAAACATTTAAAAATAAAAAGTCAAACACATAGATAGCAAGAATAGATTGGTGGTAGCCAGAAGAAGTAAATGTGGGTAGTGGAAAATGGGTGAGGTGGTCAAAGCTACAAACCTTCAGTCATAATATAACTAAATCATGGGGACATAAGAAAGAGCACGGTGACTGTAGTTAATAATAGTGGGTATTAGTATTATTAACTATAAGAATGCAGTTAATAATGTGTTGTATAACTGAAAGTCTAAGAGAGAAAATTGTTGAAAG